AATTACTGTTACTTACTGACTAGAATTCATAAATCAGAAAAAGTGGAAATATCTCTGTGTGAAAGCAACACCTGACTGTGAGAGGGTTTTTAAATGCCGAGACTAATTGACTGAGGTCAGAGGTCGGGTTATTAACACTATTTACGGATTAAGCTATTGACTTTTAAGCAGAATGTTTTTATGAAACATTTCCCTCAGATTAACAACCGTGTGAATGAGTCTGGGTCAGTTGCTAAATGAAGATCTCGGTTTTAAGATGCCTCTTGAAAATGTCAACACAGTGAAGGACAGCCTTATTTCGGGACAATCGAATTTCTCTGACTGTACTGCTCTGAGTAATAACAGAAGAAAAATACCTCCTCTCACATAAAAAAAACACGCGCATTAATATCAAAGACCCGCCACAGAGAGATGTGAAATCGCTGCAGCTTTGCAGAGGAACGGTGACAAAAGCTCAGTAGGGTGGATATTTAATTCCATCTCAGACCTTAGAAGTGAGAACTATCTTTCTGCTAATATGTCGAGCGTGATAATTATCATCAAACTTCGTTCAAATTCTAATTTTCTCATTTCCTCCTCATCAAACCGACTGTTGGCTTTATTTGTTTGTCAGCTAGCACATGCTCTCGTCATTCCAGCGGAATATAGATTGGCTGCCGGCGTCAAGAGCGCAGGTACAGGCATGTGTGGTGCTTGACTGATAGCATCTATAACCACTGGCAACACATAGACTCAATTCACACTAAGAGATGACTCGACAGCAGGCTGCAGGCAAGTTATTTCTTGAGGATGAGGAGAGTGAGCCTGTGGCGCAGTCCTCAGAGACTGATGCTCCAACCCCGAGGTCTACTGGAGATATCATGCAGGCTTCATCTCATAACCAAGTCCCCTCTAAATCCACCTTGTGCATCTCAAACAAATGTCATTTTTTTCAGAGTAGTACGTTTATTTTTGCTTGCTAAAATAAGCTAATTCTTTCTGTACTACCTGTTGCTCCTTGTAATTAACCTTATGAAAATCAACCATGGTTTTACTACAAAAACCAAAAGCTATGATTATTGCAGTTAAACCATGGTAACCACAAATTAACCATGGTTTTGTTCAACTCTAACCATAGTTATGGTATTTAGTAAAACTGTACTGGTAATCAATCCGCCAAAAAAAA